GTGTGTGTGTGTGTGTGTGTGTGTGTGTGTGTGTATGTATTTACATATTTGCATTCTCAAACGCAAGTCGAGTGTGGGGATGGGTGCCCATATTTTGGTACCGTAGTATATACCTATTTTTCTTTGTTGTACACAATCCTATCCTAACCTGTGGCAGACGAATATCTCCAATTGCTCTGTTCGGGTATGGGGATAGTTAACTAAGTTAAATGTGACAATGTTTGGTGTGCAAGTGCATTTGGGGTGTTGAGCCCTGTCTCCGACTGTGGGGAGTGTAGTTACTGGGACCGATGTACTTCCTTCACGTGTGTATATCACACTGTTAATGTATACTGATCACCGTTAGAAGTGGTATTCAAGAATTGATCCCAGCCGGTTCATTCACTGAGTCCACAAAGTGTGGTGGCATCCCCACGCAGCCCGGATTATAGCATACCCACCTCATCATATAACCCAGTACTTGCTGGTGTGTTCTAAACACCTTTGCAGTGGCAGCTTCCGTGTGTGCGTTAGTAAAGTTGATGCTCCCATCGCAGATGAGCATTGTTTGGGCCTGATTCAAAACACGTATATATATATATATATATATATATCCGATTCTAACACTCACCACTCGCTGATTCGTTTTCACAGGTATCACTTTATACACACTGTTGGTGGGGATGGTGCCGTATACAGCCTCCTCAACGCTGAATCTGATAGAGCGGATCAAAAGCGACGCGTATGTTTTATCCGCTGCACATCGTGTTTTTTATATTGCGACATACAATGACAAGTCCACTCAACCGGATAGGGTTTTTATAGGTAGAGAGTGTGAGCACGCGCACATGCATGGCAATGGTTAGTATGTATCTGTAAGGGAACACGCACATGCTGGAGACTGGGCAGCCTGTACTTGTTAGTTACCACACACACGCCTAGGACTTGAAAGTCATTATACTGTGACAAACCATTGCTTGAGCATCAAATATCATCTCTGTATTAGACATTGCGACATTGTTGTGAATGAGGCAATATTAAGCATCCACTTATGAGGCCATGTTGAGCATTTTATTTAGAATACCACGCAGCATCTATTTTTAGAATGCCACTGAGCATCTATTTTTAGAATGCCACTCTGCATCTATTTTTAGATTGCCACTCAGCATCTATTTTTAGACACGCCTGACACCTGTGTAAAGTCGTGCACCCGCCTGTGATTACGTAAAATATATTTTTTAGACCAACACACGCACACCCGTCAATGCTCATCTCACTTAGAATACACACACGTCACGCGCTAGACTCTCCTACGAATCTTCCCTCTCGCGCCATGGGGTTAGTTAACAACACCGTATCACTCCAGGTCTTGCGTTGCATGGTTTAATACTGGTGTGCACGTATACCAGATACCTCCATATGTATAAACTGAGTGAGTCGTTGATAGATATAGGGCTCCTGTATATCTCACACCTGTCGTATCAGCACGCGTGTATTCTGCCCCACCGTCTACCTGCACCACCCCACACCAAGCCACTGCATCCCTGCGTGGGCTTGGTAAGTGGTAGGTACTTGTACTCGCCACTCTGTGTGTCTGGTAAGTGGTGGGTACTTATACTCACCTTTCTGTATGCGCTGTCTCGTGCTGTGCTGCACAGTATCGACATGACAAAGATTGAGGACGAAAACGCGCGGGACATCCTCCGCCGCATGTTAAATAAGGACCACGCCGCACGCCCCACGTGTGAAGAGTTACTGGTACGTTAGTAGGATATCTGCTGTATTCTACCTACCCAGCTTCGGCCGCTTGACACCTGACATTTGACACTTACGCTTGGAGACTTGACATTTGACATTTAGCACAGCGACCGTTGACAACATGATACTTGACACGTGGTCATTGACACCTGACACTTGACACTTGACTAATATCAATCTATGTACATTATTAGCGTATTTACTTATCTTATTAATTACCTGTCAGTCAAGCTGTACTTGTCTCAGTACTGTAGTTTGTACTGATACTTTTGCGCTTTGAATTATATACCGATTAAATTCAGTACGTGTCTTTACTCTTGTATCGACACTATTGTACATTTGTTTGCTGTACGTAAACCTATCCGAGTGATCTTAAACCGAAACACAATCAATAGCAATCGCTGTATTTCTTAATGCAACTGTCTATCTCCACCTACTGTCTACCGGTCAACAATGCTGCCAGTCGGGTTTGAAACAGCAGCAATTACACCGTATATATTATCCGATACTCACACGTTGACAGTAGCTGCTTCGCTGTTGACCTATATATATATGTGTGTGTGAATGTGTGTGTGTGTGTGTGTGTGTGTGTGTGTACATATATATATATATATAAATATATATATATATGTATGTATATATGTATATTTGTGTATATATACATATATATATATGTGTGTGTGTGTGTGTGTGTGTACGTATGTATGTATGTATGTATATGTATATTTATGTATGTATGTATATATGTACTAAAAAAATAGGAAGAGACACACAAATAGAGCTTGCAGCCTCACGACCACCTAGAAACACTTACATGCACCACCCCCATCCAATAGTACCGTAATATTGACTCTAGATTAGCAGTCACGAATCACCAAACACCACACAGGCTCACACAACGCACAAACTCAGATACATGTGCACACCCACACACACACAGAGAGACACGCACTCATTCACACTCTCACGTACACACCCACCCACTCTCGCCCACGCATACGACCAGGATTTTAGAGTTTAGGGTTTAGAGTTTAGGGTTTGTCGACCATACAGTGCGCATACCAGGGACATCGGTGACGGAGAAGATGCGGTCCTTGACGTTGAAGGACAGCTGCAGCGACTGCTCCAGCCACGGCTCAAAGATGTGCTCCTTGGTCTTGATCTTGTCGCGGAAGTTCTTGATATCCTCGTAGATCTTCTTGCCCTGTGCATGCTGCTCCCAACCTGTAGGTAGAGTGTAGGTAGAGTATAGGTAGAGTACCATATTATTCAGCTGCAGGTACATAAGCGGCATATGTGCATGTGTATGTGTATGTATTTTGTGTGTGTGTGTGCATAATCACTCATTTGAGCATGCGTTGGTGTGCTTGTCTGTCTCCGAAAATGCACTTATGTACACAACGACACACAACAATTGCACGCAGATGTCAGCAAAATCATCCACACATCACACACCCGGGAAACCCACCCCAACGAACGTGCATACACAGAAGCACACACCCACACATCCATACATACACAAACACACATACATACATACACATACACACAAGCCATGCACACCTCACACATCCACACCACCACACCAATCGCACACGCACACGCACACACACACACACACACACAAACCATGCACACACCCAGCCATGCACACCTCAAACATCCACACCTCCACACAATCACACACGCACACACCAACGCACTCACACACCTTCGGCGAGTACATCGGAGACGCGCTTCTCACACACATCCAACTGCCGTTCAATCTGTTTGTACCAAAGAATACGACCAGCATGTGGCCGAATGTCTCTGAGGGCACTCATGCGAGCAGCCTGTGTGTCATTGTACCCCGTCTTAAACTGCACTTGCAAAGCGCTGATGTCCTCCTGCATGAAAGGATAGGAATATCTAGCATATCAATATATTATAAGATATGA